TCCTGAAGCTGAAGGCCGGTGAGAACTAGATATATTTGGAAGTATACAGCGAGAAGATGATTTGCTTTTATCTCTCCCCCGACCGGAACCTGACAAGGTATCGAGGAGAGATTGCGGGATGATCCCGGTTATGTATTATTGTTTGTTGGTCTAATTTCCCAGAGTCGTGTCATTGCGAGCGAAAGGAATGATTTTCTTTTTTCCACTATAGACATCATCCCCGCATCTGTACATACCCTGGGCTGTCGTGCATGTGTACACTACAGTTGGGCCAGAAGAGCAAGAGATTCAGTTGTATGCTTCGGTTTCATTGCCGATCCTTCCGTACTGCTTGCGTACCCCTGCATGACTGCCTCTTGCGCGTGGTGCCGCTCTGGTAGGCATTCAAAGACCGTTTTATGGTACTTCATAGGACGATTGCTAGAAGACCATTGTTCTGCACGTTTGTCTCTCATATTCCAGCCTTTAGTCTTCATTAGAGGGTATTATCGTTATGGTCTCATTCGGGAGGAATCGATCTCCCGGTGATCTGCAGGGTTTCAACCCCGACGACTACCAATCAAGGCCATTATTTCACTTAGCTCGTTGTACAACTGGGCATCTTGCTGAGAGTCATCAAGGGTGGCGTTGGGGTGTAGTAGTCCGGTTTGCTCGTCCTGGGTCCATCCATGAGCCATGAGCTTTCCTATCGTGGCTGGGTCTCCTCGCTCTGTGGCTGCGGGGTCGAGGCCGAGGTAGCTTGCAGCTGTTGCAGGTCTGATAGTTTCATATGCCCTGCCCACTTCTCGCAACGTCTTTTCCTGGAAATATGCTTCAGGTATGTAAGCAAGAGGATGATCCAGGAATACCTATCAGATGCTTTTGTGAGGTGTCGTCACTTACTGTCATAACTCTGTACTATCGGCTTCAGCGTATCCGACCATGGCAACTCTCTCAATATCGTGTAGACGGACTCGTGTTTGTGCTGCCAGATCGCTCGCAGTAATGCCACGCAGTTTTGCAGGGAGTCGTCTGTCTGTAAAAGGTCTTGTGGCATTCGCTTCGTCAAGAACCGGGCTTCATAACTAATAGATATGTGAGAATTTTGACCAGTGATCGATGACCGACATGGAGTGCTTACATTTTATCTGTCAGTAGATGAGACAAGAAGTAAGCGGCATAGAATTGGCTCAGAAGCTCTGCCTGTCTGTTATTTTGGAAGGAGAGGAGATACGCTTCTTCCTCGTATGGGAGGAGTATGTCGTAGAGCTTTGACGGGGTAGCGGCCGATGAAATCGCTGCAGCAAGCTGCTCTTGCGAAAGTGGTGGGGTGTTCATTGTTGATAACTCGATTTGTGTGACACTGGACCCTCGCAGCAGATCAAATCCCGGGGGTGTATGGGTGTAGAAGTGGTGTAGAAGCGGGATGGTCAATATGGCTGGCTGGCTGGCTGGCTGGCAATGATAATAATGATGCGGTGCGGGGACAATCGGAGGTTTCCCCAAAACCGCAACGGGCGGCTTGCGACTTACGTACCTGGCGTGCCAAGACCCCAAAGAGACCACCTTGCGAAGCTCCAGTCTCGAACTCCATCTCCCCGGTCTCTCTCCCTTCCAACTTCGCTCTCAACGAACCGCCTGGGCAGGACGAGAGTCACTCGTTTATCACTTTTCCCAATTGGAAATTTGATCTTCACTTCCTGGCCATTATGGCCGAATCACCCCTCAATTCCCTACTAAAGGGTAACACCGGCAGGAACACTCGCGGCCTACTGCGCATTATCATTCTAGGAACTATTGCCGCTGCCGCTGTGTCCAGTCGATTGTTCAGTGTTATTCGTATGTACCACCGGCTCCATTGGCACCGATGATACTTATATGATGGAGTTTGCTGACTGTTTCTACACCAGGCTTTGAAAGTATCATTCACGAATGTACGTTGCCCCATACCGACCGACTTGTTGAAGTATTACCCGGCATTCACATTGAGCTCACTCCGCGGCCCGCGAGTGCACATCACATCCGACTCCATCGCTTTAGAATTGACGCTGATATGGTCTTATCTTTTAGTCGATCCATGGTTCAATTTCAGGGCAACTAAATACTTGGTTCAACATGGCTTCTACAGCTTCTGGGATTGGTTTGATGACAGTAAGTTGTTTCATCATCAGCACTTGCCTTTGTTCCAAGAGAATGCAATGGCGAAGCCTTTGGACAAGCAATTCTCAAGTCTAACCACCGTCGAACTTTCTAGGAACCTGGCACCCTTTGGGACGTGTTACGGGTGGTACACTATACCCCGGTCTGATGGTGACCAGCGGCGTGATCTACCACATTCTGCGATTCCTGACCATCCCCGTTGATATCCGTAACATCTGTGTCTTGCTTGCTCCTGGATTCTCGGGCTTGACTGCTTTGGCGATGTATTTCCTCACTTGTGAGATGTCCACATCGCCATCCGCAGGTCTGCTTGCAGCTGCTTTCATGGGTATCGTCCCTGGCTATATCTCTCGTTCAGTTGCTGGCAGCTATGACAACGAGGCTATCGCCATTTTCTTGCTCGTCTTCACCTTCTTCCTGTGGATCAAGGCTGTCAAAAATGGCTCTATCATGTGGGGTGCATTGACCGCCCTGTTCTACGGCTACATGGTGTCGGCTTGGGGTGGGTATGTTTTCATCACCAACTTGATTCCTCTGCACGTCTTCGTTCTCCTTTGCATGGGTAGGTACAGCTCGCGGATCTACATCAGTTACACCACCTGGTATGCTCTGGGCACTTTGGCCAGCATGCAGATTCCTTTCGTTGGATTCTTGCCCATCCGGAACAGTGACCACATGTCTGCTCTCGGTGTCTTCGGCTTGCTTCAACTGGTGGCATTTGCCGACTTCGTGCGAGGCTTCATTCCAGGCAAGCATTTCCAGAGACTCCTGACTACCATGATCATTGTCGTTTTCGGCCTTGCATTTGTGGGACTTGTTGTCCTCACCGTCTCTGGAGTCATTGCTCCCTGGAGTGGTCGCTTCTACTCGCTGTGGGATACTGGTTACGCAAAGATCCATATCCCTATTATCGCATCGGTCTCGGAGCACCAGCCTACCGCCTGGCCAGCATTCTTTTTCGATCTCAACTTCTTGATCTGGCTTTTCCCAGCCGGTGTCTACATGTGCTTCCGTGATCTCAAGGACGAGCACGTCTTCGTCATCATCTACTCCGTTCTTGCCAGTTACTTTGCTGGTGTTATGGTTCGTCTGATGCTGACCCTGACTCCTATCGTCTGTGTCGCTGCTGCCCTGGCTCTTTCCACTATCCTTGATACCTACGTTCTTGCCAGCCCAGGCCCCAACCCCAAGGCGAAGGTTATTGAGGACACCTCGTCGGAGCCCCTCCGCTCTGCAAGAAAGCCGGACGTTGGAGTCACATCCTACCTCTCGAAGCTGGTCGTGACATCGTCCGCGATCATTTATCTTCTCCTGTTCGTTGCGCACTGCACCTGGGTCACTTCGAACGCCTACTCTTCCCCATCCGTGGTTCTGGCCAGCCGGATGCCGGATGGAAGCCAGCACATCATCGACGACTACCGTGAGGCCTACTACTGGCTCCGCCAGAACACTCCGCACAATGCCAAGGTCATGTCATGGTGGGATTATGGCTATCAAATTGGTGGTATGGCTGACCGCCCCACTCTCGTTGACAACAACACCTGGAACAACACCCACATTGCCACTGTTGGAAAAGCGATGAGCTCCCGGGAGGAGGTCAGCTACCCCATTCTTCGGCAGCACGATGTCGACTACGTCCTGGTGGTCTTCGGTGGATTGCTGGGCTACTCCGGTGACGATATCAACAAGTTCCTCTGGATGGTTCGTATCGCCGAAGGTATCTGGCCAGATGAGGTCAAGGAGCGTGACTTCTTCACTGCTCGGGGTGAATACCGTGTAGATGATCAAGCCACACCTACCATGCGCAACAGCTTGATGTAAGGATCTTCTTCTCTGGGATTGGGAGCAAACACTGACAATGAGCTAGGTACAAAATGTCCTATTACAACTACCACACCATGTTCCAGGGCGGTCAAGCCGTGGACCGTGTCCGTGGCGCGAAACTCCCGGCGGAGGGACCCCAGCTGTCCACCCTCGAGGAGGCTTTCACCAGTGAGAACTGGATCATCCGTATTTACAAGGTCAAGGATTTGGACAACTTGAACCGAGACCACAGCAACGCAGTCGCATTTGACCGCGGTCACAAGCGCAAGCGTGCGGCCAAGAAGAAGGGCCCTCGTGTTCTGAGAACCGAGTAGAGGAGGGTTGTTGCTTGTTGTTCATGTAGCAGATAGAGTATTCGGGACGATCAAACTGATCCTTGTGTACTAGATATTTCATCATAACCTGTATTTGATCGACGACATAGCCAAACTAGCCGCGCATCTTCACGTCATAATACTGTGGGGCCGCTCAATTGTATAAAGAAGCCTACACCTTTGTTACCTGCTGAGCAGGAGCGCAGACGGAAACACCGATTCAGCATTGGATAATATACACATAAACCTATCTCGTAAAACAGAAGCTAAACTTTGAGGGGGAATAAATGAGCAGAGATGAGTGTCAATGAAAAAGCGACAGATTTGCGGAAGCACTCCTGCTGTTGAACGTATCACTCCAGGGCCTGTCACTTGGTCTGCGGTATACCGAGTAATCTTGAACATGATCTAAGAACCGGCCGGGCTTCAATCACTGTGTTTATCCGTGAAGTCGTACCAAAAGTGCGAGAGATATACATCATCTTCCGGGGGCAACCAGGCTTCGGTGTGTACGAGTCCATTTAGGTTAAGTGAAGCCCATCAAGGCACATCCAACCCGGGATGATGATCACCCCACACGTAAGGAAGACGACCATATATGACACCACGACCCACGCTCCGTTATATCTTCTCTGCGATGATAGCACCCAAAAAGTTCAAGCGATGGCGATCAATTGCATCCAAGCAGGAGAAAGCGGAAGGTATATGTCTATGGACTTCCGTCTATTGCTTCTGCTGGGGTTTGGCGGCGGGGGTCTCGGGGACCTTGACGTCGGAGAACTCATCCTGGCCGACGGCGCGGATGGTGTAGGCATCTGGAGGAATTGGGAGGTTGAGGATTAGCTCCAGCTCCCTGTGAGTTCGATGGGAACGAGGGAAGGACGGTAGATCAACATACAGACACCAATGGTGAATCCGACGAGGCACAGGCCGGTAATGGCGTTCTTGACGAGGTAGGGCCGGCGGGCACGCAGGAGGGCGGCTCCAGCGCGGTAGTCCTTGCCGTAGTAGGTGGAGTTGAAGCTGGCAGAGGCAGGGATCGGTGTTAGTATGTTCGAATTGCGCTGTCATGAAGCGGGTTCACGAATTCGCGGCGAGACGGTGGCATGATTGCCGGGTTGATTTGACTGTCGCATTGGAAGAGAGGAAACGGGCGGAGGGGAAGGGAGAACATACATTCCAGAGGCCATTTTGACAAGAGTACTTCGGTCGTGGGTTATCACCGGATGGATCTGGATTGTAAGGGTATGAAGGAAAGAGGAACGAGAGACGATCCGATTGTTAAAGGCCGGAAGATTGGATGACAATCTGGATTCGATTCCTCCTCCAGAAATTGGATGGGATGCCGCCGGGCTTGGCGTTCCTGGCCGGCCGGGCCAGTTGTCCGTGTATGAGTATCTACACTACTATACTACACTACTATCGAAGACAATCATGTCGGCGGGTTTTGATCTGGCTTGATTGATATATGAGCAGGGCTCACTGTGTTTGGGTTCTAGATTTGACCTCCTATGTCTTTGTAGTACTAGCGTATGCCGGATATGACTTCCCTGAATACTACGTAGTATCTCGTCCTAAATATATAGTACTAGTGGCTGTCTCGCCTGTTATAGTACGTCAATTGGTTTTCATGGTAGAGTCTGACTGGATGACCTGACAGGTCACAGGTGCCCCGCAAAGATACCAACAGACATAGGACAGAATGGTTATGTTGCAGACGGTGCACATTATTTGCTGTATGATGTGATGATGGCCAGCTGCCATGAGCGGGAGGCACAACACGTGACTGGCAGGAGCGTGACTTTGCCTGTCTTTGTATGGGTCTCGGCTTCATACAACCAATTCAGTTCCGCGTTCAACCTCCTCTCCTCTCCTCGTTTCTTTACCCCCCCCCCCCCCCCTCTCCCTTCCCATCCACCTCTGATCTTACCGGCGATTCCTCTCTTCAATCGACCCGGAATCTCTTGCATAGGTATCTCTCGGCGCCCCATTCGACATTCTCTACGCCTCGTATGTGTCTCGGGGACAAACAGTCGTCGCGGCCGTGTTCTAAGCTCCGTGCCTTGGCACCTAACTTCCCTGCGTAGACAGCTTTGACCCGTGACAATCAGACAATCCGCATTGAATCTGCCAACCCGCCTCGCTCGCCCATCTTCTGCCAGGCCGTGACCACCGGCCGCTGAACGGAGTCGTAATGGCTCAATCGGCCGATCACCTTGGCGATCAGATCGCGCAGCTTAATGCCGCCCGCAATCTCGTCCTGGGCGATGCCGCCTTCTACCCCCAGATCGTGAACGGTGTCCTGCCTATAATCGGATCGCGTGCGCGACTAGAATTGCGGAGATGGGGCGCGGAGTTTCTGGCCGAAACATTTTCTAGCCCGGCGCTGGCTTTGACACAGAAGGAGCAACTGGCCGCCAACGTCCTACAGGCGCAGCGCGAGATATTGGAATTGCCGGAAGGAGATCCCTTGGTCTTGAAACATATAGTGCAGAATGCTGCCAGTCTGTATCCGTTGGTGTTTAGGCATATGTAGGTCACCGGCGTTTACTTGTTGTTCACTGCACTGCACTGCCCCGAGACCCTCCTCCCTGGGAAAAAGCCTCCGTAGACGTTCGCATGAAGCAGGCCTAGAATTGTCTTTCTTGTTGGGCGCGACCACTAACACCTCAATGTTGCAGTATCAACCATCCGCGAGATGGAGCCATATGGGAGAATATGACCGCAATCAAACAAGGTATCCTGCGGCGATGGGACTCGTTTCCTTCGCAGGTCAAAATCTGTTGCATCAAGTTCGTTCAGCGCGTTGTGCAAGTGCAGACCCATGGACCGATTGCAGACCCTAGAGTACGTACATAGGATCCTGTCAGAGGTGTTTTGTCCGATGTGGAGTTAATGTTGTTGTTTTTTTCTTGCCTAGCGACCTGACCAGAACGAAACCTCCTTGGCTATCGTGCCTCGCAATCATCCCGTTTTGTCACTTCCCAACCTCGAGGCGGAAGCCTCTGGACTTTTGGACAGACTTCTGTCTGCTCTCCAGGAAGAATCGAGGTACTTGTTCTTGACCGAGAAATGGGGAGTTCTGGAAACCTTGCTAATGTCTCCGTAGCGACCCCATCCTCGTGAACGCAACGCTGAACTGCCTGGCAGTCCTCATCCGCAGTCGACAGTCCATCGGCAACAAGATCATCAATGCTATCATGAATTTCTTCCCTGCGAGACAAGTACGCCCACCCATAACCCCGGCTGTCCGGGTCGGAGTCAAGTCGATGGAAAGAACCGCCAGGGCCGTTCTCGAACATATAATGAAGAGGTGAGACAAGGACGTACGGTCAGCTTGTACTGTGTGCTGAGGACTGTCTAGAAATGCCAACCATCCATTCTTTCGCAAGATGGAACAGCACGTCGATCGGCTGAAGAACTCACGCCTCGAGATCGTCGACGACGCAACAAGGAAACGTGGACCACCTGCCGAACCCACGGACGGGCTTGACAAAACGAAACGAACGAAACTCGACGCCGAAACACCGCCCGTGGTCAAAATCCCGCCACTTCCTCCGGGCCCAACCAGTTACTCGCAGCTCTTTACCCTGACGGAGGATGCTGAAGCTTCACGCTTTGATGTCAAGCAACTGCCTCCAGATCTCCTTGTCAACATCGTCGTTCCCATTCTCGCTCGAGTTGATGAATCGGCGTTGACCCAGTCTATCGATGTAAGTTAGGACGTCAGGACGCAGAAGCAATACACTGACCCAGTAATAGGCCATTCGCATGCGCTATGAGACAATTCAGAAGCGACAGGCCGCCCAGGCTCCGGCGGTGGTAGCGGCCACCGACGACGACGACGATTACGAGCCAGAGTACCAGCCTATGGATGTTGCAGAACCGGTGCGCGAGCAGGCGGATGCTGAGGCGGCCGAAGTAGCAGAGATCCAGCCAGATCTTGTCTCCTTGGGTCCCTTCGTCTTACCTCAGCCCCCTCCGCTATCAGAGGCCGAGGCTGCAGAAGTTGGTCGCAGTGCTGTCGGGAGGGTGTTCGGTATGCTAGCGTCCAGTGCGGTCGCCTCGAATCCGGCGAAGGGGAAGAACCAGCAGCAGCCGGGATTTGCTCGATTGGCCGGTAGCACCTTCGACCGAGACGCTTGGGTCACTCTACTCACCCGACTCGCCACAAGAGCTCCAGCAGGCCTGGAAGCGGGAACAGGGAAATTCGGACAAGATGCATCGAGCAGAGGCAAGTCAACGATCTCTAATACAATCCGGGAGACTCTATATCGGTACATCCTAGAGGACTTCCGGGGCCGGGTGAATGTGGGCATCATGTGGTTGAACGAAGAGTGGTACAATGACCGGGTGCAGATGCAGTTCACTGCCTCGCAGCGGAGGTCGGAGGACGAGGAAGCTACTGTACCGCTGTTTTACGATCACTGGGTTTTGAGACTCCTGGATGGGTTCTTGCCCTATATTGATTCACGAGACACCAAGATCTTCATCCGCTTCTTGAGTGAGATCCCAGAGGTGACAATACCCATCACACAGCGAGTCGCTAGTCTTGCCAAGGACCCCGAGCGTGTCAATCTATGCGTTCAATCCCTACTGTAGGTCAACTGCCGGGAAACTCAAATAACCTTCATGCTGATCGTCACCAGGTATCTGATCATGTTTCGACCACCGGCCCGCGAGATATGTCTCAATGCCATGGAGCATGTATATGAGACCTGTACGTTCCGTTTTCTCCGCTTAACTGTTTGTCTTCTAAACTAATTTCTCTCGACGCAGACGAGGAATCACGTCCCGCTGCTGGCAAGGTCTTGGCCAAATGGCGGCCCAAGGCAACGCAGCCACAGCCAGAACAGCAAACAACCCTGGCGAGTCGCGGTGCCACAACGGGGACCAGCGCGACTCCTGTTGGTAGTGCTTGAGACAGTTGATAGAGCCTGTACAGCTTATTGATCATCCCGTTGTTCCAAGGAAGCGTAACCCGTACTTGCCACAGAGATTATCACATTGTGCCAATAGACGATCTGTCAATCGTGTAATTTACAACCGTTACCTTCGTGCCTGTAGTCATTGTCAATTGTCCGCCGCGGGACGCAAACCTGTATTGCAAGTAAGGGATCTTTCCGTAGGTGGTACAGATTGATGCACTGAGTCCGGTAATATAAGTGTATATGAGATGCTGCTTTTCAACAAGTCGTCTCGATGGTGTAGTTGGTTATCACGTGGGTCTCATACGCAGTATGACATGGAAGCATCAACTTCCTTGATATCCCAAGGCCGGGAGTTCGAACCTCCCTCGGGACATTTCTTTTTTGGCACTTTCTTCTTTGTCTCTGGGAGGAATTGGCCAGTTTTTTTTTGTTGGCTTGGGGTGTCAATTCGCTGCTATGAGGGGAAGATGCATGGTGAGTGCCAGGAGTTAGGTAAAGTCGTTGTTTTAGGATGTGGTGATGAAGCTCTGTGGGTCATACTTCCTCGCCGTTCCACTTGCATTCTGACCATATATTTTTCTTCACGGTTTGTTAGGACTATCTGCTCCTGTGTTTGGGTAAGGCTCTGATTGTTCTTTCTGACCCCTCGAACAGCTCCAGGGATTCTTTAATGCCATAACTTGCCTGCGAGCTTCCCCCATCAATGCTTATGCGCACCCCGAATAGTCAACCTAAGAACAGTCACCAACCTCCGACCTATCGTAGTTTTACAAGAAACATGAATCCGACCAAGTGTCTCCTTACTACCGAGCCGGGCTCCCTCGTTAATCCTTCTCGTGCCCCGACTAACCCCTAGGCTCCTCGACCACCTGTCTCGAAGGCAACCAACTGATAATACCCCATTGACCCAGTCTCACTCGTGCATACACAGCCCACAGTCTGCAAAAGGACAACGGCCAAGCCGCCCAAAATACTTTCTCTGTATGCATCCAGCCGACAAGAAAGAGCAAAGCGTTTTGGCCGGCCTCGCATCTCTATCAGCATCCACATCCGCGAAAAAAGCGATGGCACAAGCCCACCGGCAACACGTACACAACCACGCACCAGAAACGGCCATCGAACCGTCGACTCAACCGAGCTAAGCTTTTCCCAATGGGTCCGCAGCCATAGACAACGCAGATGCAACCCCTAAGGTACTGTGAGTGGTTAGTAGCGTGGGGGATCTGGAGGTCGGCAATATCATTCCCAAGGTCCTAAGCCGTCTCTTATCGGAGTGGTCCACCCCTTTGTCCCAGAGATCGAACCAAACCACTAGACTCTGGAGAGTCATGGCAGACTAGACCACGCCCTAGCTGGACTAGTCTAAGACCTGCTGATTGTATCCGAGCATATCGTACCAGTGCCCATGGTCATGCGTGGGCAGAATGGTAGGTGATCTTGCTCGTCCAGGGAGATGGAGTTGCAGATCCCCTCGTGCTTGAAGCTAACCCGGAGAGAGCATGTGTGTGTGTGTGTGTGTGTGTGTGTGTGTGTGTGTGTGTGTGTGTCAGTAGTAAGTTAACCAACGACCAACGTAGACCAAGCCTCACAATCGCAGTCCGACGGACGAACGCATGCGCAACGAGTAAGGTAAACCGACATTAGGAAGAACGTGAGGAAATGACCTGATGAGCGTCGGACTTTCGGGCAGAAAGGAAACCACTGCGCATGGAGGAACGAGCTGGACTCGGTTAGACTGGGGTGTATATAGCCTAGTACTCTCAAGTACTCAAGTACAAATTTGGCGACGGAGTGGAAATGACGGGCCTCGGAGAAAGATACCAGTTCCACACACAAGAGGACTCGAGGTCCTCGCTTTCTCCACCAGGGCATTCCTCCCTTAGCTTGAGTTCTTTTGCTGTTTGCTGCCTCCTCCTTAGCCCTCCTAGATCACAATCATCAATAGGAGCCTCCTCTATGGTACGGTACACACATTGGGCAAGGGCAGTCAACAACCGCCGCGGAACTGTAGAGGTCAAATTACATACCGGATGTCCGTCCGTACCGCTGCGATACCCACCTCATCTATGGAGGAAATACAGTACGGTATGTTGATAATACCTCACACAGCTGACCTCGCGAGGCTCAGCCCCCCCTCTCCTCCGGGCCCGAGAGCGCTTTAATTTCCGGCTCGAGGCCCACCAGCCATTCAGATTGTTTACTCTCTACTCGGGTATCATAATAGTCAATTAATGAACAGATGTACCCTTCCAGGCGTCCGTCCACCAATGGAACTGGGCGTAGTACTCTGATTTACGGATTACTTCTGGGAAGTTCTGTTCGATTTTCTCTATCTAGCCTATTGTTCTTTTCTTTGTTTCCCCTTGCCGTCTACCAATTTCCCTTTCAGATTCCTCTGCTGCTGCTGGTCAGCTTACATACACTATAGGAACTATGTACTATATACTAGGTAGCAACTAGACTGGCATTGTGATGCTTGGTTGCCTAGCATGCGGGGATTGGTGGATTATCGGCAGGCGACGCAGGTACACCGCATGCTCCGGCAGATGGCGGCACGACGCCGGACCGAGGTATCCTGCCTGTCACCCACATTCCTGCAAACGCCTCCCCGGGGATAATCCCTCGTGGCAGCTGCTCCTGAACGTGCTCATCTTAAAGAAGACCGGTGTGATTCATTACGATATCCATATCTACATCCTCATACCATACAAATCGACGTTCAAAACCATTAGCTCCAGCCAACCGGAGTATAACAGTGGAGTGATAATTGTAAAATGAAAATACCACAGCATCGTCCCATATGAACAGAGTTTCACAGAGTCGAGAATCCCTTGACATTGACATCGTGCCGTGGAGCAAAAGTTGTCAGGTAGAAAAACAGGGGTGTGAGAAGCGAAAATAGGGAAAGCGTGAAAGACGGCGCTCAAAAGCTATGTACGAGAAGCGGAAAAGAGTCATTTATAAGTCAACCATGATCGGTAATGGTTCTCAGCCGCCCTCTAGACAAGAGCAATAGCGGCGACAATCAGCGCAAGCATGCCAGCGGATGCCCGGTTGACCACGCCGGCGTTGGCGGGGGCAAAGGTGCTAGAGGCAGTGGCAGAGCTGGTGCTCGAAGTGCTCGACGAGCCAGAGGAAGAAGACGCGGCGGAAGTCTTGGAGGCAGTCACAGCGGTGGAGTTAGAACCGGAAGAAGTAGAAGAGACAGCGCCAGTGCTGGTCACGGTGGACAGAGTGGTGGCGGTGCCAGTGGTCTTCTCGCTGGAAGAGGAGGAAGTGGTCGAGGAGCTGGAGGTCGTCGACTTGACAGTCGAGGTGGACGCAACGCCGGTGACACCAGCGACGGAGAAGCGGGGGGTGTAGTTGATATCATCCGTGTCCTCGTCATTGATGATCTCGACCGCGTAATCAGATCTGCTGACCAGGCTGGCGGGAGGAGTCCAGGTAAAGCTACCGGAGTTGGCGACTCCCGCTATGGGAAGTCAGGACATGATAGTAAACAACTGACGCGGCTGCGGATACTCACCGGCAAGGCTGTCACCCGAGGAGGTGGTGAAGACGGCGCCCCACTGGAGTCTCAGGCTGACGGTTCCGTTGGAGTTGGCATCCCAAGTCAGAGTCGTCGGGGATCCGGCCGTGAAGGTGTAGCCACCCTCGGGAACGTTGAAGGGGTTGCTGGCCGCATTGGCGAGCGTAGCAATGGCGCCGAGCGCAAGGCAGAGCATGGAACGCATCTTGATTAATGGATACGGGCGAGAGAATAAGATAGACAATGGAATCAGATAAATTCCGACAGGGATATCTATCGATGCAAGAATTGGGGATAAAGAGCGGAAGTGAGCGAGATGCGACGTGGGAGTCAGACGGTCAAAAAGAGTGTACCGGGTGAGTAGTAGACACGAGCTGATACAGCAGGAGGAGGGAAGCAAGAACTTAGCTGTCGCACAAGAAGGGAAGGAAGGAAGGGAAAGAAAAGAAAGAGAGAGAGGAAAAAAGGGAAGGAAAAGGAGGAGAGGGAGGCAGGCCAAGGACTAATACCGATCAATGCAGCAGTTGAAAGTGACAGCCAGAGCCAGGCGAAGCACGAGTACTAGACTATGCCTGTGTTTGTTCGACCTGATCTTAGCGTACCGGACCTTCTACAAAACTAGCCTGCATTGGGAGTCCCCAAGTCCCCCTCCGGTCCGAATTGCCCGCCTTCAGACTCTGAGAGGCTTGTGGCGAGGAAAGTGGAAAGTCAAATGGTCAATAGATCGAGAGTCCGCCATGGTTGGTTGCAGTCCTCTTGTCCTTATTGAGCTTAGATACCCCCCATCCCCCCCCCCTAAGAATAGTACTCGCAAGCGGTCGAAAACCCTGAGCGACCTTATGTGTATGTTCACGAGTTCACGAAGATACGGTTGATAGAAACCCCCTCAGTCAGAGATTGGGATCTAGACTGGGACTGTTGTGGTTCCTGCCCTGTCCTACCGAGCCTGCTTGTTCAGCAATGGACCCCCTTCAATGAGTTGAAGTCTGGAGTGTCTGGACTCTGGACAACTACGAGGAGTGGACCCTTTGTTGATGAATGAATGGCTGTAAGATTAAAAACCCTCATTTGGATTTTCTGAACCCTCGGCGAGTCTCCACTGAGTCCACTTCACGCGCAAGGTTTGTTAGCCGCTGGTCCACCGGCCCCATCCCATTGGGCGGTTCCTGGTACCTTACGTTTGGTACGAGACGGTACAGAATTTCTTCTTCGACCTGAATCAGCTCGGGCTGATTTGCCGAACTGAAATCGCCATCTCAGCTGCACTGAAATGTGGCCATGCTTCCGTGGTTCGCATTGGTTGCATATACATGGCTGGTTCTTTCTTCTGGGCGAATTGGATGGATGCCTGTCAACTTCACCTCACTTGGTACACAGTCGGGTATCTTATCTTACATACCTAGTAGGACTATCTGAGCCATAGCCGATCTTGGAATCGATATATTAAAAAAAAAGGGTCAAAGCAGTCTACCCTAAGAAGCCTGGATTAAGAGTGAGACATGATCGAGACTCGGATCCCCTCTCATCGCAATGCGTTAGGTTGACTTGACCTACTTTCGACCTCAGCTCGATTGTAGATTGTAGATGGTTCACAGTCATAGGAGTCCTGTAGGTAGTACTGGACCATCTTGGGCTACTCAAGATGAGTCGCATTGCATACCGATACATCAGCCAGCTCCTTTTCTCTAATTACCGTATAGGGTAATTCAATTAGCCTCAGACGAGATTCGCCAATCCACATCCATCGCACCCGAAATTGGTAAAGGATCGTTCGCACGAATCCGACCGCCCGAGTGCCCCATCCGTCTTTTTAAACGGTCGACCAAACTAAATCAACTTGCCTCCCCCGCACCAATCTCCTCTCGTCAAAAAGGCAGATGATGATGATGATGATGATGATGATGATGATGATGATGATGATGATATCCAAAGTAATTCCTGTCTGAAAGGAGGGCCCCTCCCCTCCCACCGTGCTCAACGCCCGCTACGTCTGCCAGATCCGCTTTCCCTCCCTGTTCCCGGGACGCTCTCCCGCCAAAAACGCAGATGGCAACCATCCCAAAAGACACAGAACAGGTCTTATGCATCCGAGCATGCATCTCGTATCGAGCTTGCAACTTCAAAAGCATACAAAGGAGGACTCAGTCTAGCCTTTACCCAAGAAAGCCACATGGCTATTTTCGGGGCCAGAGGAACAGGAGAAGATAGAATCTATTACCTTCGTCCTTTTCCATTTTCCACCACCGCGGGCGCGCAGTTCGGAGTGTCCGAGTGGGTCAGTCACTGTATGTACGGTAGGGCAACTCTATATGCGAAGAGCCCCGAGGGTCTTTCCCTCGATGGTCTGCTCCGTTAAGGAGATCTAGCCGACTCAGTGGGGAAGACCCGCAAAGAGCAACTGCTGGGTTTGGCGGAAGGTGTCGAGCGTCAGTCAGTCAGCCCCTGCTCACCCGGACTATACATAGGAAGTGATGGTCCACAATTTGATTTTTGTATTGTAAACATGAGAAGTGTGTATGAATGGATAGATGTATGTATGTACATTGCATTACCGCTGCAATGGCGCTGGAAATAACGTCTTAACTATATGTCATGTAGTCATCTTCATCTATGCCGTCATGAGAGCAGCAGCGGCGGCATCGGCCCCCTGTCCGGGAGCCGTACTCGGAGTCGTACTCGCGGACATCACTGCCCCCTCCTCACACTCCTGGCGCTCCTCATTTCCGGGAGCAGCTTTTATCTCCTCGGCGAGAGATGTCGCGCCGTTGCTGTCCTCCGGCTCTTTCGGTGTATCGAGCATGCCGTTCTCTCCGAGCCAAACAATTGCCTCCATCACCTTACGATCATCCTCGGTTTTTTGACGATCCAAAAGCTGATGGTTGTGCCTGTTAGTTGAATGTGCGGGATTTGGGAGTCCGACAAAGAACACTTACCGCTTGAAGAAGTCCCTTTCGTCCCTTCTGCTCCGCGGCTTTTGTTTTGGTTCCTCGCTCGGGCATTTCATGCGAGAATTTGCACCGGTTCCCATGCAAACAACGGCCATTACGCGCAAAATGCCGGCATACCTTCTTCTTCAGGTCGCGAGCAGGAGGTGGTACTCGCTCCGGCCCTTCGCGTTTGGTGGTGGCTTCCTCGGGTGCAGCATCATCATCGCTGTCATCAGAATCCTCCGAAGAGGTTTCAGATCCGCTGGAAGTGGTCCAGTCACTGCTATCAGAGTCGTCTAGGGACGACACGCTGGCTCCGTCGTCGACCTGAATTCCCGCGACCTGTGCGTTTGCGTCATTTGCAGGAACAAGCTCCTCCGCAGCTGGACCACCCGCTGGTAGCGTAGTGGGTTCCGATGGCTTGATCAAAGAATCCAGGGCAGTTTCTCTGTGGGCAACAGGCTGAGCCTGTTCGGTGGATGTGCTTGTTGAACTCTTTTGTAGTTCCTCCACCTTCATACGGGCCCTCTCAGCATCGGCTTCAGCTTTAGCAACCCGCTTTTCTTCTCTCATTAACTTTCGCCGCAGCTTGTCCGCTTTGAGCTTGGCCTTCGCCGCAATATCGACAGGATCATTAGAATCCTTCTGCCCGTCCTTTTGGCTCTGCTGTTCGCGCCCTTTCTGGTACTTTGAATCCTTCTGCGGGGGTTTCTGCTCTTGTCGCTGCAACTTCTTCTGCCGCAACGCCTCCTCTCGGGCCTTCTTAGCCTCCTCCATGGCTTTCTTCTTTTCTTCGACTCTCGCCTGGGTCGGAAAGCGTTTCTTTCGCTCTTCGATCCACGCTTTGATGTCCTCAGGCGACTGTAACGTCGAAGTCCGTCCCCTGTAGGTGAATTGCAGGGGCACAGAAGCGTTCGCTGCCCCGGTTGCTCCTTCCGCGGCCAGCCGTGCCTCCTCGTCCACGTCATCTTCCTCTTCACTAGACTCATGCTCTTCCGTTTTCGGCGTCAAACCAAGTTGGTTATGCTTTCTCTTCTTTTTCTTAGGCTTTCGAGCGGCGTCAGCCGGCGGAGGTGGTTTGGAGGGTAGCAGAGGGTTCCCAAAACTGGGGACCGGTGGCGGTGCCGCAACCCGAGGCGCACTTGCCTGGGGTGGGCGCCCGAAAGCCGAGTTATGGTCCCGTTTATTGCCATGGTTCATTTGCTTATCCGGCTGGACATTGTGATGATTGAAGGCGCGTCCACCTCGTTGGTGCCCGCGCTGCCCTCCGGCAAAGCCTCCCATTGATCCCGAACTGTCAAATCCCCAGCGCATAGGCGGCCCCATCAGTGGGGGTTGAACCGTTGGCGTGACATGGTTGTGAGAAGGTACAGCGGGAGAGTATGTAGGTGCGGGTTGTGCAGCGGCCACAGGGTAGTTCTGTTGGGCTTGATACGGAGTAGGAACGTGTGCTACGGGCGCTGGAACGTACGGTTGGGGCGGGTTGTAGGATGGTGCAGCTGGAGTACGATGCTGGAAATTCGGCGACCGCGAAGGCGCGAACTGAGGAGTCGGAATTGCTCGCGGAGTGGCAGAGAGAGGCTGAGGCGTGTATCCCGCGTAATTCATGGGTGTGTAGCCGCCGACAGGCCCAGGACCGGTGGCTGCGACTGTGGCAGACGAATATCCCCGGTTGGCATTCATATCGGGTGCCATGTAATGGCTGCCGCCACGTCCACCCCCTCCGCCGCCGCCACGGTGGTGGCTTCCGTAGCCTCCTCTCCCACGACCTCGATGGTGTGCACCGGGGGCGCGCCCGCCGCGTTGTTGACCGTGATAGCCTGCATTGTACTGAGCTGCATAGGAAGCAGCGTTATGTCCATGGTGGTATTGTTGTTGCGGATGCGAGTGCTGCTGGTGTGGCGGCTGGTGCGGCTGGTGCGGCTGGTGCTGGTGCTGGTGCTGTTGCTGGGAGGAAGGAGGAGGAGGAGGGGGAGGCGGAGGAAAAGAGAACCCCTGAGGATTGTTGTTCATGGCGAGAAGACCTCGATCGATCTTCCAAAGGTGACAGAGACAGCCAACATGCACGCCATTCTCTTTTTTCTCGGATCTAAGAGCGGCGGCGAGGTCGAGCTCGGCGCTACTTCTTATAACAAAATGGGCGGCGTCGGATGGGACCTTTCGCTGCAGCTGCCGCCGAGATTCTTCCGTTCCGAAGGACGCATCAAATTGCAACTGGTCACGTGATACAATCTCGGCCTCGGAGGCGGCGGCGGATTTCCCTCAGGCAGAAAATTCAGGCCGATCTGCCCGCCTGCCAATGGTGGGAATTGCATCTTATCGCATGTAGCGAGCTAATCGGATATTGTTTGAATCGTGATCTTTACATGTCCTGACATGGCGTCGGAGGGGTGAATCTGCTTAGTTTCAAGAAAGAAAGAATCGGATAACAACTTGGCAAAACGGGATATGCTGAGGTTTTAACTTGTTCTCGTGTCTTGTACTCTACCTCACTCATTACTCAATTGGGACGAGAGAAAAAAAATTCCCGGGCTCCGTCACCAACACGCCGTGTGCGCATCCTCGCCCAGCATGTTCATCCTTGTCAGTCACCTTGAAACCTATATGCTCTCTTTAGCTGCAGTAACTGTGCTTGACCGAAAAAAAACATCGACTGACCGGATTTCCACAGACCACTGTCTCCGATCTCATCCAGATCTCCCCCGAGGATTTCTCGAAGTACAGCGCTGTGGCCCTCGAAGACAATATCAACGAGAAGTATGCCAATAAAGTAACTTCACCCTTGCCCCCAGCCCCGTCCCTCGAGTGTCCAAAGCATATATGATATATGAACTAAAACCTCATGGGACAGGTGATCCAAAAAGTCGGTCTGTGCATTGGGTTCTATGACCTGCTCGAGTCTTCGGACGGTCTTATCGGCCATGGAACCGGTCTAGTCAATGTGAACGGTAAAGACTCCTCTTGCTCAACATGCAGAAGCTCGCTTTCTGACCCCGGATGGCAGTCAAATTCCGACTCATCGTCTTCCGTCCATTCAAGGGAGAGATCATGCTCGGAAAGATCTCGAGTGCTACTGAACATGGCATCAAAAGTAGGTTCTCCCCCCCTCCCCGCCCCTGTCAACCATAGCCCATGCTTTTCGCCTTGACGGCCCCTTTCCACCTCTGACAAATGGGCTCTTTCTTCTAGTCGGTGTAGAATTTTTCAACGATATCCTCGTCCCTCCCGATCTTCTCCTCGACGGAGCCAGATTGTAAGTCTCTCTCATACCCAGCGCTCATCCCTTCTCCAATAACATCTCAACCTCCCACCACATACTAACGCCAAGGACCAACAGCGACTACGCAGACCAGGTCTGGATCTGGGAGAACGAAGACGGCTCGACCTTCTACTTCGATGTCGGCGAGGTCGTCCGTTTCCGCGTGGAGATGGAGGAGTGGCATGATCAGATCCCCAACGCCCCCGATCTAGGCGATGGCGCCGCCGTGATCGAACGGAAACCGCCATATTCCATCATTGTACGTTTCGTCTCTGACTCCCCATCCATTCCAATCTGTGTGCCTTTGGGGAAGGAATGATCATATACTAACGGCGGGGCAGGGCTCGATGCAAATGGCCGGCTTGGGGCCGATCTCTTGGTGGTGATCGAATGGATTCTTTCTTTCTTTCTTTCTTTCTATTGTAGATTTACCATCTCCTGGTTGTGTTCATTCTTGGCGTATATGTTTGTTTGGCTACAGTGATCGATTTGGGGAAAATCTGATAAAGTGAGTTCTCAAAGTGATGTGGGCATATGTAAACTTCGGAGGGGGAGAGGACTAGAGTATCCTTTCTGGCTAGGTGTCTCAAAAGTTGCTTTCAGGTAGGAACATAAGAGCTTATGTTAGAATCTCGTGATATATCAGCTTGATACTGTTGTTGTACGTCGGTGTTCTGGTCCGACTCCCTGGCATACATGGTCACTGAGACTGCCGCTTTAGGGTTCAATAGGCTGATCAGACATTCAATGAAGAGGACCAACATATGATAAACATTGAATTATGGAAAGAGATTGTAATCCATGCTTGAGATAGAAAGATGTTACATTTTCTCTGCGAGCATGAAATGCCAACGTAAGGGCCAGCTGCTCCAGAGTGTGGAACAAACCTTATGAATACTGTCTACAGGGCAAGCGTTATACATACCCCAGAGATGAGGCGAGCGACTAACCCGCGGACAGTAGTCAGTGGATTTCGAGAAAAGATTTAGCGCAGCAAATATCATCACATTATTCATTATGATCCTAGATAAGACCACCAATGCCAAGCTGCGAACCTACCAGAGGCGACAGCCATCGAACCGGGCATCGGGGGTGGACAAACACGCTAGCGGATTGAAAACATTATGGGTCATCCATCTACGAAGCTGCCCACAGCGGAGTCACCCGTTTGACGTATTTCATAAACTTGAAGAACCCAACGGCATGTTCAACATTGCCATATGGATCAACCACCCGCTCCGGGAACGCGATACCAGCCCCATAAAGGCCTCGGACAATGCGCCCATCGGGATCATAAAAGCCACCGGAGACCGAGTCAAAGTCAGGCTCCAATGGACGGCCATTGACCGATAATTCTGGTAGTGGGTCTCGAGTAAAGCCCACAGCTTGAACTATATGGGTGCAGGATGGCAGGACCCGCTGGTATTGGGCTGATTCCTGGCCGCCCCCGCAGTCTACCTTCGTGATGAAGCGGCCGGCCTCGGACTGGGGTAGTTTGTCATCCTCCAATTGCTGGCGAGCGAAATCAGCGGCAAGACCCTTGAGCCCAGTATTATCTCGGAGGATCCAGCCATCCATAAACTCCGCGTAACGCAGTGGATGTCGCGTGAACCATTTGATGCGGAGTTCAGGATGGGAGCTGCGTGCCAAGTCCACCAAATTGAGTAGGGCTAGAATTGCACTGTGGGAGGCTCCTACCACCGCAATCTCCGAAGGCTTGTTGTGGGGAAGATGTGTGATGAGTTCACTAGGCTTCAGCACTAGATCTAGGTCCAGCCGTTCGATGTGGTGCCCGGAAATGGGGATTGAGACTTCCGTGGGGGATGAACCCGTGCAGAGAACGAGTCGGGGTGTCATCACATCAATCTCATCTTGGGAGTTTTGAAATTTAATTCGAATTGTCCAATCAGATGTCTACACACAGTTAGCATTAAGAGAGAAGCTTTTCCAGGAGAACAGCGCGAACTGACTTGCTCGGAAAGATTGGCAGCTGTGACTGTACCCTGGCATGGCAGAACATTGTCCATCTTCGTGAGTCCGTCAGTGAGCGCACAAACCACATCCGCAGCATGATGCAGATGACAAGTCTTATCCTGGTCAAGCTTGGCCATTGTCGTAAAAGGATTAGGCATGCGGGTATCGGCAATCACGGATCTGAAGGGTTGAACAGCGGTAGCATAAGCTTGGAAAAACGACACCTTGGTGTTGCTGATGCTGTGGTGTCAGCGAGGAAGCTCCCGGGCTGCAGTTTCGGTCGGAAGTAGAGTGGCTGATCAGTATATGCTTACCTGGGAACTTCGCGATATTTCCGATTGACTCGACCTCCTTGAAAGTATGGATCAACCCATGCGATTTTCCCACCAAGCCGCTTTTCTAGTAGACTTCCGACGACTGCCAAACCAGCAGGACCAGCTCCCACCACCACCGCGGCACATCTCTGAGGCTGTGTCATTCTGAGGACGCTTTCCGACTGTAGAGACTCTCAAACAACGAGGTACCGTGTCAAAGCTCCAGATGATCACTGTGAAAAACCCACAGTATGCAAATTCGGGGAGCAAGCTGAATATCTTCAGAGGAGAGAACAAGAACGAGCAATTTAAGGTAGAAGCTCAAGGCGATTGAAAAGCATTGCCGGAGTAATTCTCGGCGAAATAATCAAATCAGAACCCCTTCGGGGATAGACAAATAAAAGACTCGTCATGGTCACTCTAGGAATATACACAGATGATAGCAAGCCAGGGAGGGCTGTTGTTGAGACAGCGAGGTCCATATGGATTGCTCAGTCGGCGATTAAGTCAATCGGCGATTGACCACGCAGGGTGCCCGAAGAGACCGACAGGTAGGCGTCCACGGTGTTGTCTGCGTCAACTCTCGGGCGAGATCACGCATCAAATCGTTCAGGCGGTGATGAACAGCCCGGTTACTGGTTCCTGAGCCAGTGCAGCTTCTTGTTTGGGAGTCAGTCAACTGATCAATGGTTGAGGAGGTTGCGCAACCAACGCGGCCTGCCCCACCGCAATTGCTGCTTGCTTTCCGTCATCTGCTGTCATGGCGTATTCTGGCATCCATTTTGTCGACACAGGAATGTCAAAAGTAAAGAAGAAAATGGTGTTGGCGTACAGGGAAAGGCAGCATAAACCCCCTAGATCGATTGACTGTCTCACATTTTCATCCTTTGTGTGCTAACAAGAGTAAAAGCAGCCAACATTGCTGGCCACGAGGAAGTTCGCGACATTATATTCAGGTGAGAGTTAACCAAATGGGGCGCTCGGCAGAATTGCGTGATTTCCTATATGAATGAGGTGATTGTCCATTGTGCCTGATTTGGCAGGCAGGCTACCACTAATACTGTACGCACCTGCGCCCCCGCGTCAGTCTTGACCGCCAGCGGGAATCCGGGGTATGCTGGCCGGCACTGCACACTGAATGATAACGTAGACGAGAATGCTCTTCCTATCCACGGCAATCGTTTTTAGCCGAAAGAGTACAGACAATAATTATTTGCCGGCTACTTAACTATGCTATTGATAGATGCTGGTGTTGCCGTGCCAGCTTATAACTATCGTTTATCGTCGAGAGTGGCCCTTCTTCCACTTCTCGTTCTAGAGACCTAAGATCGCCTTAGATCGACAATTATCCATGTTCCATGTGATTGTCTTCCTACACCAAGACTATGGACTATCGAATATGCTTGCCAGTTCTCCGAGTTAAATCTTTATAGAAATGGAATCCTTGCAGTAGTCAACTCTCCTGCATAATCAATCAAGTCACCTTAACTGGAAAGAAAGCATCGTTCCAACTTGATCACACAGCCCAGAATACTCGCACTAACACCCGCTCGACATTATTGATCCATCCTCCAAATCGAGCTCTCCCCCAGATCTGGATGGCATCACCCACTTCTAAGGCACGAACTTGACTACCATCTAAGGTTGCACGCCCACGACCCTGGCTGTTTTCGATTTCTTCTGCTTCACTGGAGTCGCTGGGGATATCATCCAGATAATGCCAAGTGATACGATGTAGCTGGGTATTCTTGTCCGCCGTTCGGTTTGACTGTAGTTTATGAGCGCTCGGGAGTAAAAGAGGATCGCCCGATTCGAAGTGAACCGGCTGCTTCTCCTGAATCGGTTCTTCACCAGGTGGAGGCGGCTTCTGGGCCGAGTGAATAATCCGGGTGTCGAACCATGTAAAAGACCCGTCGTACGAACCTTTATTGCGGGCACCGCCACCCCATCCCTGGTCATGGGCTGAGATGGTAAACATGATCTTGCGGCAAGGGTGAGCGGTACGATGGGGAAGCACCTGGGGAGAGTCGGATCTCAATGTCTATGCGATATCATCAGTTCCGGTACGTTTGAATCATCGTCGTAGCTTCCCTTATTCGTCTGAATGCGAGACTGGTGTCACCTTGGGGCGGTAAGGACATACCTCCACAGCATAGCACAATGGTACGGTTGTTAACAGTACCTGGTCCTGATCCTTTCGGATGATCGTCTCTCCTTCCAAGCTAGACTCGCTGGTTGCCCAGTATTCGGCCGCATCCACGATCATGTCCACAAGCTCACAAGGAAACAGCTCCTCAGAGTCTCTCTTCCATTTCCAGATATGCTGCAGCAGGTATCGGACCTTCAGCACGTCGTAGCAGCTAGGGCAGTATGTATCGTTATCCAATGTCTTCGCTTCTCCCTTCGATGAAGCGCCGGTCTCGTTGTTGTTACCCGAGGGGTCCGGTGGCCTTCTACCCCCTCGAAGCCGATGGACGAACGGAAGCATCATTATGGGTGATCCAAGTCGCTTGATATCAAGCAACAGACTGCAGGATGACAAGCGAATCGTTTGCGAGGGTGAATTTGTTAGGTACGAGGTTAGATCTCATCGAACCTAGGAGCACATCGAATTGCTGGTCGCAAGTGAACGGCAGGCTGATCCACTTCTACTCAAAGACCAACAACATTAGGGCTTAGAGCGTCTCGGGCATTTGCTTGTAAGACCGCTTGAATATTCCTATTGCACCTCACGTGTTCCGGACGACTAGAGCGGAGACAGGTCGCGTGTGTCTCACAAAAGAAGTCAAGCTTGCGAAGCTAAATCCATTCGGAAATTTTATCTTGATCTCTGCTTACGAAGGGGGTGACCGGATAATATATGGCTGAGGAGTCTTGTACGGATTAGGAGCTCATAATCGATAAGGGGTGCGCCCGCGCAATGACGTCACTGTTCTTGGGTTCCTGGAGGCGAACGGCACCACGAAACTTGAGAATGAGTACACATTTGTAGCATGTAGGCCTGTACCAGCCCTGACAAACATACTGAGGAACCTCATACATTTGATTTGACTTTCATACCCAGTTGTGCTTTTGCAAAAGTTCGCAATGTCCTATGTCCACCCGGGATGATAAATTACATACATGAAACGCGCCATACAACGAACGGAAGATTATTCCTTGCCTTTCCTACCACCAGCAGCCTTGTATGCTGCAGCGCGCTTGCTACTCCGACTGTTGCGCTTAGCCTTCGATCCACGACTCTTACCCTTGACTCGGATGCGTGATGCTCCTTCCGTGGCTCGCTGGCCTTCGAACACCAACGAGTTCTGCGAGATGGAGGTCCTTCCTGCAGCCTTGACCTTGGCTGCACCAGCTCGGCCAAAGAGCTTACCAGCACGACCCTGAAGTGTCTTATCCGCGCCTCCAGGGGCCTTCCCTCGATTGCTGCCATTATCATCGCGCTTCTTCATGATCTTCCTAGCTCGAGACACACGGAGCTTGCGCGGGAGCATAGGTGGGTATTGCTTTCCTTCCAGCAGGAGGGCTTCCTCCACGCAGTTTTGATCGTAAAACTGAACATAGGCGAACCCTTTTCCAACACGCGTGGCAGAATCACGGACAACTCGAACATACTCGACGCTGCCCTTGCCAGAACCATCCTTCTTTGACCCACCGGTGTGAGCATTGAACACCCTCCAAAGACCCTCTTCCACATCTGCGGGAGCCCGCGGCTTTTTCCTCTTCTCATCATCGGGTTTGGTCTCGTTATCAATGAAGTCCAAATTGCCCACGAAGATACACCGCTTGTTGTCGATTTGAGCGGGATGCGCGACGCTATCGACACGCAGATGGCGATCGAGGACAACGGTACCGTTCAATGCAGCCGGAGCCTTTCGTGCAGCTTGCACCGTTGAGTACACAGCATATGCGTTTGTGCATGGTGTCGTGTCATCCAAAACCTCCTTGTTTGCGAATGAAGCTCGCTTTGGTACCTTGCCTCCGCTAGCAAAGGCTGTCGAGCGGAAGCGGATTGATTCAACTTTGTGTGGTCCTGTGGATTCTGGGAGCGAGTCAAGAAAAGACCCAAGGTGTTTGAGAAGCGTCTTCTTAGCATACTTAGACTTGATAGCCTCGTTCGACACATTGCCAAGGAACACAGTGCGATTAGACTTATCCAGTTCCGCGTTCTCAGCAGCTCCAGTAAGACTCTCATGCTTCAGCACCGCAGTCTCCTCTTCACCTTCGCTGTCGCTTTTATCGTCGCTTTCATTAGGCTGCTCCTCCTCGTCTTCATTTTCACCCTCTGTAACCTTTTGTCGCTTAGACTGCTCTTCACGACGCTTGAGTTCCTCCTTTTGCTGCTCCTTCTCTATGCGACGCATGTAGGAGTCTTCGACTTCTTCTGCCGGCGCCCTCTTCCGCTTCCGACTAGAGGCCTCGGAGTCTTTCACCGCCGATACACTTCCAGGATCACTCTCAGCCTCTGAAGCCTCTTGCATTTCTTCATCCTCCAGCTCGGAGATCTCATCCTCGCTCTCGTCATCTTGTTTATCTTTCGCAGCGCGCTTCTCTGCCGAAGCAGTTGATGTCGGAGGCTTGACTGGACCGGCCTGTGTAGAGATGCGTTAGCTCAATTAGCACTTGGGTATGATGAAGAGCCTGAAACGTACACTTGTCGCGAATAAGGAAGCCAGAGAAGGATCTATGGGGGCAGTTGTTCCCAGAAGGGAGACAGATGTTTCTGTCTTGGCCATTATGGCGGAAAACTATGAGATGCCGGAAGCCCTTTGACAATAAATGATCCACCACTTGAGCAGGAGACAGTGATCAGGTTCGCTTTTCGTTGCTGCAAATCTTATGACGGATGTTTCTGTTTCCGTATTTCTCCAACCAACTTTTTTTTCTCTTTCTTTTTTTGGAGGCGGTCTTGGCGACGGAAAGCCGGGGCAGATCACGTGGAGTCGGCTCTCTCACTCTATTCCCCCAAAGAATAATTGAGACTAATGTGGTGGAACTATGCTCTCAGATGGCGAACCAACTTACTTTTTTCTGAAGTATGCTCAACGCTTCTGTAATTGGGTTAAGAAGATTATAAAGCAGCAATGACCAGTGTAAAGCGTGCTCGGTGTTTCCCCAGACCATGGAGTAGTGAGAATGCCCTAGCCAAAACCACTTCAGGCGGTGAGCCCTCATCCGGCGAAAGGAATATACAGCCGGCAGAACTCAATACGGGCGGAATACAGCAGGGTGACGCCGGCTCTGATTAGTGAGTGGTGAGGATGATTACTGCTGCTGCTTGCTGCTGCTTGCTACTGCTGCTGCCGCACTTCTTCTCCCTCCTCCTCCCGCGCCGTTCAAGCTGCCATCTCGCTTCTGCGCTTCAGACTTGGTGGTTTCGAATTCAATTTTGTTTCATTCCATTCCTCTCTCTCCTACCTTTACTTGAATCCGTTCTCCTTGTACAGCCGACTACGCTTCTCTCTTCCATGCCGCTCAGTCTTCCGTTACGCTGCACTTGTCGTCCTGCCCGCTTCCTGAGAGTCGACGCCCACCACAACCGCCTTCTCATTATCCCTCTCGCTTCCCGTTGACTAGAAGTTCGTCTGCGCATCCTCATAAACTGAAGCCATACTGGGTGCAAGGTCGGGGCTCTGGAAATTTGTGGATAGGCCTACCTTCCCTGATTCCTTCTCCGCGACCGCGGTGGTTCAGGGAATCGTGCTCGGTCGCGGCAGCTGAAACACTACGGATTTCACTGTCGGCGCATTGCTGAATGGTATGTTTCCCAATGCATTTCGAGCCAGTGGAGGATCGGTTTTGGATCAACTGCACTAGATTCAGCGTCCCAGACCCTTGAACAAGAGCATAGAGCCCTGTTTGTCGGGCCGGCGCAGTTCTCAGAGCCCAAGCCGGGAGCGAGAGTGACTTTCGCTTTATCTGGGGTGTGATCAAATCTCCGCACCGCCTTTGGGACTCTGTCGCTCCCCTCTTCCTTAACCCTGCTTTTGAACTTGGTCGACTATCGTTTTTACTATATTCTTTTTTGTTGCTTTGACGAAATGTCTCTGGATACTATGTCTAACTTTCTGGCTTTGGCGGCAATAGGTCCACGGTTTTGACCCTCTCTCCCAGCATCCCTCTTCCCCCCCCCCCTCCTCCCATAAGGCTACCGACCACAAATCTCAGCTTAATCCTCTCAATACTTCTTCAATCACCTCGGCTCCCCTCGCTTTATTATCGGTGATTGCTGCGCAAGAAGATGGAAGTCGCCGAGAGTACAGAGTCTGCGGTGATGGGCGCGACACCTGGGATGGACACTGCCATCGCCAATGGGGAACAGAACCTTCTCCTAGACGATTCGATAATGGGTGACGACCGATCGAGTAGTCTTAGTGAGATTGATGATGTGTCCGAACATATACCATCCGATTATGAGTCTCCCAAGCCGGAGAGGGTGGCACCGGAAAATGACTCGGAAGCGGAAACAGAGCGCATCGAGGACTCCCCAAACTTCCGTTCCAAAACAAACATTGTCGTGAGTGCAGCTGCTTATGAGCCAAGCCCCAGCAAACTGGCCCAGTCGACGACGTACGATGATGTCGAAGATGAAGAGGAGCATGCTGCAGACGATTCACCCAGCAAGCCTCGCTCCAGAATCACCCGTATCAATGACGTGGTAGATGAGACTTCTGGGCGCGAGGGCTCTACGCTCTCCATAGAAGGCACTGGCAAAAAACGCAAGCGCTTGGAGTCCGGCGACGAGCTGGGCACCGAGATCGACGACGATGACTTACCGTCACAGAAACGTCGGGGCTCAGTGAAGAGTGATCTGAGCGATCCACCCCCAGACGATATCGCTCTAAGCCCCGAACCCATGGAAGACCGTTCTAAAGCCATTGAAGAGGATACACCGGCAGATGAGACGCCTGGGTTAACCTCGCATGCAGTCCCCACGAAAGGTAAAAGGGCAAAGAAGGGCAAGCGGAAAGGACGGAAAGCTAGAGATGCAGATGACGATATGGATAACGGCATTGGTGACATGAGCGCCGAAGTCGATGACAATCTTGCGGAAGACGACACTGCTGAGCGCGGTGAGGATGTGGACGACAGTGAAGCTGCTGCTAAACTTGAAGAAGAGTGTAAGTTTTGCGGACCACGCTCGATTTTGGTCATAAACGGGCACATAACTAACATGTTCCTTCTAGCAGCGAAACGAATGGCTGCTATGGATTCATTAGCCGTATTAGAAAGAGAATTCGCAACGTTGCGTGACAAGTAAGTTGCTACCACCACCGGTCCACCTGGCCCCTCATAACTGACCTATGTAACTCAATTAGAATATACGACGAGAGAATCTCCAAACTGAATCGGGAACTAGAAATGTTGAATGGTCCGAATCCCACACACCCTGAATTTTTGCGGCAGCTCGACTGCCTCGCCCGCTACAGAGACTCCAAGATCAAATATGAGCACACGCTATTCCAGTACCGAATACAGGCTCTGCTGAACAAGAGTTTGGCTGAACGGGCGCAAGCACACAGTACATATTTCCAGCGGACTCGGGATATTCGCGAGAAACATTCTAGTGCGATCAGCAAACAATTTTACTCTATACAGCATGATCGATTCAAGACGGACGACGTCAGTCCACAGCATTATATTCCTTTCCCGACGCGTCGCTCACAACAAATTGCGCATCAAACAGCGTATAATCAAGAAGTTTCGATTATGGCCGGAGTCGCAAAATACGTTGGCTTCCCTGCGGCGCCTTCGCTGTCTGCGGCGCGACCTTCCGAGCTGGAAGACGACCTGGAGAAAATGGGCGTAAGTTGTCTCAGTCATGCTGCAAATCACCGGCAACCCCTGCTAACGTGCCCTTGTACTCAGATATCCATCGAAACAAAACCCCCACTTACTCAACAGCAGCCTACTTTACCCCGGGGAACTATGCCAGCCATGTCATCGAGCGTCTTCCGCACACCAGCAGAGGAGGCCTTCTTGGAGCAGACACCATGGGCCAACCCGCAACATCCCGTCCATCAACACCAACAATTTTCACAAAGACCCCAGACCCGAATTTACGAGAATCCCCGGGCCCCTGCATACACTACCCCTGCTGCTCAAAAACGAGTGGTTGATATCCACGCGCCCAACGGCTCAGCCTCCACCATCGCGGAAAATTCATCAGCCAATAACACCCCGTTCGATCAAGAACAAGCTCCTCCCAATCTTGGCCATTTCGTCAACCCCGATTATGATGCAGACCGGAGGTCTGGATTTCGGTCTCTAAGCTCCTCCCCGCTTGACGTGCGAAAACCACATCCCGCCTCCTACAGCGCTTTTGACCACCGCTCCCCTCAAGGCGCCTCTCAGCATGCTGCTTACTCTCCTCCGTCGGCCCGCCTGGGCCTTTTTCAATCGGCCTCGTCCAAACGAGAGCCATCTCCTTCGCTCTCCTCCCGGCCTGTCAACTCCTTACATCAATCGGCTGGTATCCTGCCTGGCTCCAATCAGATGGCCGCTCGATAGAACAATACCTGTACACGGCATGCAATCACCTCACAATAACGGCAAACGGGTTCGCATTAGGGCTGGGCATTTTCTGCGATGTATAGGGGTTTCTTTTAGGGTGTTCTAGAGAGTTCTTTTTTCCCCGCATGTATGTACGGATTCGGGATGTATGACTTGGAAATCACCGGGACGAATTGAAACCTGCCATCTTATTCCTGTTTCTCTTGCTTGCTACGGTCTGGGACCGTCCTGTGTAAATAATAGGGAGATGGCGATTGAGTTTTGCTTTTGTGCGATTCTGTCTGAGGGTGAATGATCTTCAAGATGAGTTCTTATGATGTTAACCAAGCACAAGCACCGTGTCTTCTGCTCTCATTCTTATTGGCAATGTTTAGATACCTTCCTACCTTGTACCTATTTATGATTATAATATTAGTTCTATCATTTCCTGACAATCGTGATTATTATCGCTGAACAGGAAGAATGGGAGGGGGGAGAGAGAGAGAGAGAGATACAACAGTCCGTGCGGTGCGTAAGACCGATATTGATAAGCATGCGGTGAAAGACGGAGAGACTCTTTGGTGTGTATCAACTATGTACAGTACTCATGTATGTACAGTACATAGATTAGCATACTATAGTAAGATCCGACGCTCGTCCGACATCTCCGACTGGCGGCGGGCGGTTAGTGGCGGCAGTCGTACTCCGTCTAGAGTATAATCCAATTGTGGAACGGGAAGAAGAATAAATGGAAGGCGGAGTGGGGATTTGCCCGCCACTTCGTCCTATCGACTTCCGGAAGATCTCCAGTCGGCAACGTAAAAGAAACTCATCTTCGTCCCTCTGGGAGAATTTGGTTCAATTTTTTTTTCTTTCTTTTGATTTTTTTTTCTTCTTCAGCAGGGAGTTTGGTCCTTTCTACGCCCTTGGGAGTCTTGGCAGGTTCGCATTTGCATTCCGGCAAAAATTATATTAGTTAGGCCTTTCTTTCGAGGGGGTTCTGCTCTCATTACAAATCTGTCTGTCTGTCTGTCTGTCTTCGTTTTCGTGCTTACAGCCTGCACAAAAACCACTCCTACTTCATTCAGTCTCTTACTATATAAGTCCACACGCTTGTCCTGTCCTGTGTCCATCGCAAACGGCAACGTTGGGGAATCACATCATTTCTTTGTGAAATTGGTTCACTAGCATAGCATACTATATAATCGGAGCCATTCCTCCTGGTTTCTTTGATCTCTCAAACCCTCTTTCCGCATTCAATCACCACATTTCGTCATAATGGTCGCTCAAAACGGAGATTCCGTCTCCCAGGAACGCCGCTTCGGTACTTTGGCCGTGCATGCTGGTGCTCCCCATGATCCTACCACCGGCGCTGTTATTGCTCCGGTCAGTTCTCCTCGCTAGGAACTCTGTTATCACGCAACTACTAACCGGAAAGGACTAGATCTCTCTGTCTACTACATTCGCACAAACCAGCGTTGGTTCCCCCGTCGGTCTATACGAGTACACTCGCAGCTCGAACCCAAACCGGTCAGTGAGCTTGGGGTCCCTCCCAAGTTAGACGGACACTGACTATAGACCAGAGACAACTTTGAAGAAGCTATCGCTGCCGTTGAGCACGGTAAATATGCTCTGGCCTTTTCCTCCGGATCTGCCACCACTGCTGTGATTCTGCAGTCTCTCGCAGCGGGCTCGCACATTGTCTCCGTCTCCGATGTGTACGGCGGCACCCATCGCTATTTCACCAAGGTCGCATCTGCCCATGGAGTTGAGGTGACATTCACGCCCAGCATTGAGGAGAATGTTGAACAGTTGATCCGTCCCAACGAGACCAAACTGGTCTGGATCGAGACCCCTTCCAATCCTACCCTCGGCTTGGTCGATATCGAGAAGGTTGCTGCCATCGCGCACAAATATAACATCATTGTGGTCGTCGACAACACCTTCATGAGCCCCTATGTCCAGAACCCCTTGGATCATGGTGCCGACATTGTCGTGCACTCCGTCACCAAGTACATCAACGGTCACTCAGTAAGCGCTTGGCTTCAGATTCCTGACCAGTAGGGTCTATCGGCTAACATTAGGAATAGGATGTCCTCATGGGTGTTGCCGCGTTCAACTCGGACAGCTTGAAAGAGCGTCTTACTTTCCTTCAGAACGCCATTGGTGCCGTTCCGTCTCCATTCGATTGCTGGCTCGCTCACCGCGGTCTGAAGACTCTCCACTTGCGTGCGCGCGAGGCCACTACCAATGCCACGGCCGTCGCCAAGGCCCTCGAGGCCTCTCCCCATGTCATTTCTGTCAACTACCCCGGTATCGACTCTCACCCGCAGCGCGCTATCGCTGTCAAGCAGCATCGGCAAGGCATGGGTGGTGGTATGCTGAGCTTCCGTATCAAAGGCGGAGAGCAGGCTGCCCACTTGTTCTGCAAGTACACCAAGGTCTTCACCCTGGCGGAGAGCTTGGGTGGCGTTGAGAGTCTTTGCGAGGTTCCCGCAGCCATGACCCATGCTGGTATCCCCAAGGCCGATCGTGAGATCGCCGGTGTTTACGACGACCTCGTTCGCATCTCTTGCGGTGTTGAAGATGCCGAAGATCTCACGGCTGATGTTCTTCAGGCCCTTAAGAAAGCCGTGGCTGCTAGCCACCCCGTTGAGAACGGCAGCGCTTGATTAAATGGTCGTTGATGATTGAGAACTGTTTACTGCGATAGAAGATAAACCCGTTAGAGGGCTAGATCAAACCCCATCAGTTGAAGACTCGATGGAACGTAACCCCGAGCGGGGCATGAAGTATAGTGCATGATGAGGAGCTTGCATAGAAACTCATTTCTCTAGTTATAATCACGAATCTCCTTGTGACATTATCAGGAGCGCAGCATACACGGTTGATAATGAATGTATCTGTTTCTGGGCAAAATGCTTATTAAAATGTGTTACTCAAGACTTGATTTTAATGGAATTGCAATCACATAGGATTTGGAAAAATACTTGTTGAACCCACCTCGACAGAAATTGTTCGTAGGTCTAGAGTGACCAGAGCTCTCGTTCTTACATTGTTTGTATGGAAATCATGGGCCATACAAAACGATTAGTCATCTTTTTTCCCCTTTACCTGCAAGAAAATTTAGAGGATCAGGACCTCGACCACGCATGGTAATAATACTAACATCTCGTGGGCATTTTATGCTGCCATTCTACACCCCATAGTTCATAGAACTTGGTTTCTGGGCCTACGCACTGTTGCTTGAGGGTTGCAAACTCATTTGTACGCCAGCAGTGCAATCTATACAGGGTACCCCACCCCATATCGACTGGAAAGGAATTAGGAAAGTGTTACTCTGCATATTCCAACACTCCTTTTTCCTGATTGCCTACGTGGTAAAAGACAGCTGTAAAAGAGGGAGAGAGAGCTAACGGCTAAATTGCGGAATCGCCACAATCATGTCGTCCACATTCAGCTTTGGCTTTGCGGGGGATGATATTGATATTGACGAAAATGATACCGGCGTTGTCTCTCAAGAAGGCTTTACTTTCCGACAAGGCATTAGTGATACCCTGCCCGAGTTGGTGCCAGCTAAGCGTCATGATATGTCAGAGTGGGTAAGTCCTCGTGGGAAGCAAGCTCTCAAATCCCGCAATTGTTTCAATCAAGATGTGACAAGGTGTAATTGTGCTACAGATTCCCTCACTCCCCTCTCAAATCTCGTACAATAAGCTTGCCATCCCTACCTGTCAGAATGGAAACCCAGGGAAGCCGGTGATGCTTGCACGCCGGGATGTATACGACATTCGAACCCAGCTGATGGCAGAAGACACTGCCGACGACAGAGAAGACAACTATGAGCTGATCACGGGGCTTGAAAAAGGCGACATCAATCCCAACTTCTACGAGGGCGGCTTTAAGACGTGGGAATGTGCCTTGGACCTTGCGAAATTGCTTCTCGACGCCAATGCGATGACGGAAACTGCCGACAAACGGCACTTCATCGAGGTGAGTGAATGCAAGGACAGTTGGGACGGCCTACTGGCTCAAGGAGCTCATTCATACTAATGCTCCTATGCCTTGTAGCTCGGGGCAGGCACTGCCGTGCCATCCTTGGCCCTGTTCGCACAGCTGCTATCAATGGAGCCCAATGCTCAGCGAAGGGTCCACTTCACATTCGCGGACTACAACTCCGCTGTGCTCCGTCTCGTCACTTTCCCGAACCTCCTTCTGACATGGAACTACATCGTCTCAGCACAGGGAGAGCCGCTCTCTGCCGAGTCTCTATCGCCCGAAGATGGGGCCACTGAGGATGAATTACTGGACATTAGCCCCGAGCTTGTCGCCAGCTTCCAGAGAGACCTCGAAAGGCGAGGTATCACTATCGAATTCGTCTCCGGCGCTTGGTCGCCCGAATTCGTGGACTTGGTGTTTTCATCCGGTGAACAGGGTAGAAGCGATGCGTTGATTCTCGCAAGCGAGACCATCTATTCTCCTGCCTCGCTGCAAGCCTTCTCGGAAACGTTGCTTGCTTTATTGCGTCGGCCTGCGCAGGAAGGATTCTCAAGCAAGGCTTTGATAGCGGCGAAGAAGGTCTACTTCGGGGTGGGTGGTGGGGTGGATGAGTTCCTTGCTGTGGTGGGAGGAATCAGTGGGGGCAATTTGAGGGTGCAAGAGCGACTAGATATCAAGTCTGAAGGTGTTGGAAGGGTAATTCTCGAAATCGTGCTTGGATAGGAGTTTTAGTGCTCGGTAATTCTGGTGCTGCCATGATGAATGATGGAATATAGTTGGGCTTAGATAAACATGCATTCTCATTGGCTCGGGCACGGAAGCGCAACATGATCAGTTACGTAGCTGTCCACGGTGACTGGGCGATTCAAGACTCACTCTACAGCACTATAGGACAGCCCCAAGGGTACAACGTCACAAATTCGGCCATCAAGGGATAGTGGAAGAGAGACACTGAGACCATTTACCTCTGTCTTGTTATATGTACATGTACAACGTGTCGTGCTTCCCAGGTCTACCGACAGAGTTTTGTGACCAAACAATTCAAATCGATTCAGCTTAACTATTCATAGAGAGAAACGACCTTGCCATCCTTCATCCGGGCCACGCGGTCCTCCTCAATGGCCTGGTTCTTGCGCTCGTAGTGTGCGACAACCTTGCTGATGTCCGCATCGTAGCCGGCGACAAGGTTAATAGGCTGAACGGCGTGGAAGCTGACCCTAAAAGTGCAAAGAGCATACGTTAGTGCCCACGA